GCTATCAACTTGACCTTTCCAGGCTCTGAGGAAGGCGAAATCCGCCGAAACGTCAGCTTATTCGTGAATAAAGAACAATAACACCTCGCGTTTGCTCAACAAAAATATGAAGAATTACTTGATCAATGCCGAGGTTAATAGAAAGTCGGTCGTGGGAGTTAATTGTTTTAGGTTGCAACTATACTGGACGTGGCCGTTATTAGAGCATTGTTGATAACTCATTGGCGTGAAGAGGGAATTTACTGGGCATTGCGGTACCTACTCAATCGCCTTGAGCAGATTCAGGTTTGTTTGTGCTTTTTTTTCTTTACTATCTTTTTATTTAACAGGATCGTTTATATATAGCTAAGGGAGCGTGTGGGGTCGGAGACGCCCTGCAACACACATGGAATCGATCTCGGCGCCCATGGCCCACCTAGCTTTCCATCCCTCTGGGGTTGGCAAATTAGTACTAGACTTATCTGGGATGATACCAGCACTGGCTCGATACACCGGTAGGCCACCGCGAGTCATTGTAAAGTCTTGATATGCACTCAATCACCTCTAAACGATGCTTAATGAAGTCGAATGCATAGCTCATCTCTCAGCGATTGATCAACGCCGAGAGCTTTATCCTCTATACTTTTATCCATTCATCCATTTATTCACCCATTCATCCACGTTCTATTATTGCACTCATGTCGTGCTTTATTATCCATATTTTTTATCAGAACCACGTTGCTATACATGGAACAAGAAATCGAAGTAATTCTTTACCACCTTGTGAGAGGAAAACTAGTGTCACAGTAAGTGGACCGATTTTGCAGTATTTTTTAAATTTATTTTAAGTCCCATTTTGTTTGCACTATTATTTTCATTATTATGCTTTATTCTTGTTCCAAAAGTAGTTATAGTTACAATAGCTTTTCCCTTACTTTGTCTTTGAAAATCGCCTCATTTATTTTCAGGTTGTCTTACCATCTTACAGTAATACAACTTGGGAAAATTTTCAATTGAAAGCTGACGAGAGTGATAGGTCGAAGCTGCATGTGGCCTTTAATGACAATAGGTAGGTTACAGTACCTCTGTCACTGTTTGTGATTTCCTGTTGTTTATTGTCGTTTTCATGAAGAAGGGATATGTTTTTTTCCAAAGAGCCAATCATGCAGACGGTTTTTCCACTCTATAACCATCGGCTAACTGTGTTGACGTCTTTAAAAAAGTAGTTTGGCTTTTGTCTGGTCGTAATTTACACTAGCATAAGTTCTTATTAGGTGATTATAACCGTTTTATTAGTCGGTACTTACAACTTAAATCCATAGGCTACTCCATAAAAAAGTTTTTCCTTTTTATTAAAGATAAGTCTCAACATTAGCTGCCTTTGAACGTTTCTTTGTCACGATTATGTAAAAGGAGCGAATGTTGAGAGAAAAGTAATAGATGGGGTTTGATTACCTCACTTGGGTTATCTGGACTAATTAGGTTTGAGGCGCATTTCTTGTACTGTTCGTTAGCAAAAAATCTGGTTCGAGCAGAGATCACTAAAGGCTGAACGATAGTACTACAGACGAGTTTTTTGAACAAACACTGTTTACAACCACAACTTTGCTGAGATATTTGCAAAACTCTGCACCGCAGGTGTCTATGGTGGGGAACGAACGCGCTATTATCCTTTCCGGGGAGTAACGCGTTCACCACCACACCATGCGGGTCCTTCGTTTCGCCTGTCTCTCATCTATTTCTATCGATCTTTTTGCCACAGCAATCACCCGTCAGCGGGGTTGATCTGGGGAGCGCAAATCGGCAATTTCTATCGATCATTTTGCCACAGCAATCACACTGTTTACGTTGTAATTATGTTCTATGAAGTCATTCTCGATAGCATCTGAATAGAATTTCATACCATTCTACCACATGTATCTCGCTATCCTAGACGAAAATCAAGCGACCAAGGATGTCTGCGATCCCGAGGAGGTAATCATTCTAGGCGAGCCAGTCTGAATACTTTAACTAAACGTGAGCGAAACAGGTAAGGTTTGAAATAAATTTTGTCTCGAAAACTTACGACAAATGTTAAATGAATACTTCTGGAAAAACAATAATAACGTAAAAGCATAGCCAACATGGTCAAATAGTTTTTTGGAATTCACAAGGCTTTTACAATGGATAAAATTTTTATACAACACTTAAAAAAAGACCCTTCGGCGTTTCAAAATTTGACTTACGCAGTGATTTGTGGAACCCTGCTGATGTAGCAAGCTAGTGCTTTTTGCCAACCAGAAAAGTCCGATACCATCTTGCCAAATTCAAAACGATAGGGGCATAGTTTGCACAAGATGCAAGATGGAACCGGCAATCAGTTGGGTATTTCAAAGCATCTCTAGCAACCGTGCTACATTCGCCCCATATTAGGCTTTATACTCTATTATTGTACTATCACTTTTATAACATTATATTTCCCAGGATCGACTTTCTCTTAACCTCGGCATTAGAATATGAATGTGTCGTTTTCTTGTTCAGCAATCGCGAGGTTTTTAAACAGCATACATTTACTTCCATAAAAACACAATACAATACAACGCTAGCTGACGTTTCGGCAGTATCGCCTTCTTCAGAGCCGCTTTTTCGTGACTTCCAATGAGGAAGTTTAGAACAGCTGATTATAGTCGCATGTCTATGTAAATGTATGCTGTTTAAAAACCTCGCGATTGCTGAACAAGAAAACGACACATTAGCATTATATTCTTTTATTTTTTAGTAGTCTACCAATATATATTAAAAAACAAGTTTTTGATATTCTGAGAACTTAACGGTTCTTTTCTGTCCTGAATCCTTAACGGAATCCTTATGCATGTTTCTTAGATCCGATCCGTCGCTAAACAACTCCTATGACATTATACCGATTCACGAAGATAGCATTTCTGTAAGCAACGTCTCATCAAAATCCGAAAAACAGAAAATCTCCGCCAAGTTCTATCCAGAGATATTGGGGAGTTCGAGCTTTATCGAGAAAGACGGGAAAATTAGTTTTACCGTCATCGTGCAGACCATCAACCAGGTGATTCAGCAGTCAGTCATTTACACCGATTTTCTTTTTTTTATTAAATCTTTGGTGAAGTGGTCTCTACAGTTTAATTTAAGTGATATATTTTATCTAGGGGATAACATGCTTCCGAAAGTTTCTAAATTCTGAACTGTGTTATTCTTCAAAAATAAATCCTCACTGCTGCACCAAACACTACACTGCACTTCCATGCTTCTTTTTCATCATTTATATTAAATTTGTGATCCTTCATCTCAAGAACGTCTCACTTTACCTATATTTTCGATATGCCTTATACGAAAAAGATCTGCAACACACCGAAAGTGGGCAAAATAGATTTTATACTGGTAATGCTTTGGAGATATGAACACCTGAAGAACCGTCCTACAGTGATTAAAAAAATAGGGTCGGCTCTCCACGCGTTACCTCACAGAATGCAAGGCTCCTAATCATTAGAAGACCAACATGACCGTCATATTGTTTAAGAATGGATACCTCTACGATATCGGCAACTATCGCCAATCTGCTTGCTGTCTGTCGTCTACACAAACTCTTCACTGTTTCACCTTGAAGAAGACTGACAGAGCAGTAGACAAAGGACACTCATGTGAGCTAACCGGGTTTCGAAAGAGATTCGGTACAGTGACCACATCCACACGATAATAAGACTCACCGAAGTGTCGCAAGAGTACAGGGGACCGCTTTGTCTCACTTTTATCTATTTAAGGAAAACTTTTGATTCAGTTGAGATAGATACGGTAATGGAAGCTCTGAACAGCCACGGCGTTCCTTGACAGTATATAAAGATTCTTCGTGAGCTGTATAAAAGTTGTATAACCGAAATATCACCATTCTACAACGATATTAAGATTGACTTCAAAAGAGGAGTTAGGCAAGGCGATACCATTTCGCCAAAATTATTTGCCGCCACCGTCCAGAACGTAATGCGAACATTGGAATGAAATAATATGAGAGTGAAAATCGTTGGTCAGGAGTTACATCATCTTCGCTTTGCCGATGACATCGTCGTTATAACACCAAACATTAGCCAAGCGGGTCGTATGCTAGCCGACTTTGATAGAGCCTGTGGAAATACTGGTCTTCGACAGCTCACAAAAACGATGCTCATGAGGAACGCATTGATTTCATACGCCCCACTCACGCTCAACAGAACAAATAGCTCTAAATGCTCCAGTTATGTCTATTTAGATCGGGAAATCTATGTGATGAACGACTTAGCTCCAGAGCTTAGCAGAAAGAAACGAGCGGCTTGGCGAGCTTTCAAGAGCATTGAGGATGTAGTAAAGGGAACAAGGAACACCCGACTCTGTGTCCAACTTTTCGCCTCAACGGTACTTTCTGCCCTAACGTATGCGTCAGAAACCTAGTCGCTGCGTAAACAGGATGAAAGATCACTCAGCGGTATTGAACGCGCAGTCGAAAGACGTTGCTATGAGTATACCGTATCACTCAAGTGGAGAAAGAAATCGAAACATCCGACGTACACCAACGGTCAAAAATCAAGGACGCTGTTCTATATGCCGAACTGTTGGAAATAAGGTGAACTGAACAAATGGTGCCTATAAACAATAATCGATGGACAGGCGCCTTTAGTGACTGGATTCCTCCGGATGTCAAACCTACTGCATAAAGATCACCAGATGATCAGAGTTATTCGCAAAATTCCTAGAAGAAGGATTCGACGCTAAACAAGTCCCCAGAGTGTGCAGATGCCACTGGGCTGCTCTTGCACGAGAGAGCGAGAAATTGAAGAATTAGTGGCGCCCACTCGGGTCAATTGGCGATCAATAGAACAGCAGGCCTGCAAGTAAACTCTTTGAAAATTAACAGAATGAAACCATTTGCTGGAAGCTATCCAGTCGAAAAATTAATTTGGTCGGGTAAGGTCATATTGGTCTAAACTTTTAGAGGCTAAAAAACCTTGTTTAATGGTTGTATCCGCAATTTTTCGCAGGTGATGGAACGCAACTGTGCTGCGAGTATTTGTGAACTGGCGCTGAATATCGCTGACACACTGTTGCGAATACCGTTTGACCAAACGGAAATTTTCTTCTCCGAGTTGACGACGATGATATTCAGGTTTATTTTTAAATTTTTCTCTAAGTGTCTGATTAAATAGCGACGGGACAAACATCGACGTCTTTTTGCGGAAGATTTACTTGTCTTGGTAGCAATCTCCGATTTTCAGGATTTATCTCGCTCTTGGTTGTCCTTATGGTTGTAATGAGGGAGTGAAAAGTCAGCAAGGAAATTTCCTGCGCATCAAGGCAAAGAATATTCTGGCTCAACTTGAAAAGTTACAACAGGTAGGATAAAGTCACATATAGAAGTGAGTGTGAGTGTAAGACTTAGCAATCTAGTATCGATTCCGTCCTATATACTCTTCCGTTTATAAAATCACTGAAGATGTAACTATGAATTTGGCCTGTCCGCTTCAAATCATTATTTTCCCTGTACAAATAATTTGGTTAACATCTCGTAAGTTTCAAGTAGAGGGCAGATTTAGTGGTGTAACCAAATCGGCATTTGCTGGTTAGTACTATCTCTTATTAAGGTTAAAAGGATAAAAGGATAAAGCTCTCGGTGTTGATCAATCTCTGGGCAATGTGCCATGCATTCGACTCCTTTAAGCATCGTTTGGAGGTGATTGAATGCATATCTGGCCTTTTCAATGACCCACGGTGGCCTACCGATGTGTCGAGCCAGTGCAGCTGTCTTCCCAGACAAGTCTAGTACCAATATCCCGACCCCGGATAGATGCAAGGCTTGGCAGACTAATGAGCGTGGGGATCGATTCCACTATTGTTGCAGAGCGCCTCTGACCACTGCGCCACCAGCACTCTTTATTAAAGTTAGAGGCGCAGAATTCAGGAAGTGAAATTCTACAGCGAATTTCATTCGACTGGAGCAATGTTGTAACAGTTTAGCTTCGGGATTCTTGTAGAGTTCAGCGTAGCATCGGTTTTTGATACAGATAATTTTCATTGTGGTTCAATTTTATCCATATAAAGGAGAACCTGAATAATACTGTTAGACTGTTAAATTCAGGATCGATTCCGTTCAATTTTCGTCACATATGTTGAGGAGAACAATCCGCAACAAGTGCTAGATCTCATACATTCGATCACTGCATTTTGTCGTTCAGAATTCCCTCGTAAGTGTATACGAAAACGTATTTCTCTCATCCATTGTTTTGTTGCAAAGTTTTTTATAAGTGCAGAGAAAATTCCCTGCTTGAAGTTATTGTAGTTTCTCATACATCCATCAAGTCGATTTAATAATTAGCCGTAAGTAGCCAGCTTTTATCCATACTTTATGTTAAAATTACGTGTTCTGTTCACTGTCATCGGAAAACGAACCCAAAGGGTTATAGCTCCTCTTCATCCTTGATCTGACTTCGTCGGATCATGTTATCGTGCCACAGTTCAATATATTCATCCTGTCTATGGTGAAAACAGAATGTTGCGTGAATTTTTTGTTGAGCCCAGCGGGGCTTGCCCATGAATTGCAGCTACGCTAGACATCAAACTTGGGTGATGAATTCTCTGTATGAGCAGTATTACAACAACGGCAACTACTATTACGTTACGAGATTAGCAAATATATATATATGTATATATATATATATATATATATATATATAAAGAAGGTAGATAACATGGCATGGCATGGCAACATGTAGAAACACTTTTTAGCATTTACTCCCTGATAGTAGTTTACCTATGTCAGAGCTCTCCACGCCTCTCTACGGGTGCTTTTGGCCCTTTTCGTTTGCACGTTTGTCGTTTCTGACCAGTTTGATTTGATTGAAATCTACCCACCTAAACATAAACAGAAAAAATGCGAAACTACGATTTAAATCGCATTGAAAAGAAAATAGATACTGTGCACATTCACCGCTCTCCGTGACTCTTCGACTGTGTATTTGACGTAGAGACCAACCGCACAGAGATTGTATGAGGTCACACCTGGTAATTCCTCTCTGCGGTTAATTCTTGTATCCGTGAAGTTTATGCAGAATAGTGCAGCAGTTTTGCGTCGATTCCTGCGCAAGGATGGTAACTTCCATTTCGAACTCTTCTCCGTTATGAGTTTGTGTCCCATGCGCGTCCAGTGGAGTACTTAGTTTAACTTTATGTTTGCCACTTAGATGTCCTTTTATGTGGGCGCACAGACGTCGTTGCGGAAGTTTAATTTCTTCATTAATTTCGAGTTATTAGGTTGTTCAGAAATAAATGAGCGTTTTGAGCGGTATTCCTTCCTTGATGAGCTTACACGAGGTTGATAATGATGTTTATCTCACGACCGACTTTCTATTAACCTCGGCATTGATCAAGTAATTTTTCGTATTTTTGTTGAGCAAACGCGAGGTGTTATTGTTCTTTATTCACGAATAAGCTGACGTTTCGGCGGATTTCGCCTTTCTTAGAGCCTGGAGAGGTCAAATTGACAGCAAACTACTCGGCCGGACGTCTCCATAACCAAACAAGGAAACTCTAAACCAAGATTTCAATCACGTTGAACACAGCTTTGCACACTCACCGCTTTCTATGAGGTTTCCACTAAGTATGTCACGTAGAGACCAACCGCACAGAAATCACATGGAAGTATAACGTGCCCCTCCCATCAGAATAGCAGTCTTATATACTGCCCTATATCACGCGTGATAATGAGGCATTCTTCCCTGCGGTTCATTTTCGGATTTCTGGAATTAATCCAGAATGCCTCGAGAGTTTTTCGCGCCTGTGTTCTTGATTCGCGTGCGAGTATGGTGACACATACTTCAAAGTCGTCCCTGTTATGTCTCTGGGTCTATGCGTGCCTAGCGGGGTATTTGGTCTATTTTTGCCGGCTAGGTGTTCTTTCATGCGGACACAGAGGTGTCTACCCGTTTCGCCAATGTATTCGTCACCACACGGCTTACAGGAGATCAGATAAACTATACCCGAGCTCATGCAATCACCGTCTCTACCACTGGGGCAAATTACGCAATTTTGAGTTGCACATAGACGGTCATATAGGCGGTTGCGAACTAGCTGGCGCTTAAGATTACTCGGTGGTATTTCAACTACGCTCACCGAATTCCTTAAGCCCGCCCTTCTCAAGCAGCATTTTATAGCTGTACTTATATCATTTGAGATGAAGGGTAGAATAAACGGGACCCTTCTATCGCTAGAGTTGTCGTTTGGAGGCCTACGATTTCCTCTACACCTATCCTGAGCTACAGTTTCGTAGCCATTAGAAATGGCTATTTGCCGTGCCAAGTTCCGCGACTCCTTTCTCGGTTCTCTTCCCGTGCACACGTTGGTTGCTGTTCGGAACATGTTTCTTACAAGCGCTCTTTTCGTGTGAGAGGAGTGAGAAGATAGGTAATGTACCAGGATGTTTTTACTACTTGGCTTTCGGTAGCATTTCGTAATGTAGCCATTTTCTGATAGATTAATTTGGACGTTCAGAATACATATTGATTAGTGATACCGAGGTTCAAGGAAAGTCGGTTTCGAAATGTTACTACGCTTTGTGCTAGCTGATAATAACACCGACTTCTGCACAATGTGCGCGATGATTATGTCCGGAAGAAAAGCAAGTTGTTATCACCGGACATTATCATTATATTCACCATCAGCATCGTGTACAAAAGGGGATCACTGAGTAAGGATGCCTCATTCGAGGAGATGGCTCATTGAAGGAGACCTGACTCAACACGAAGGCGAAGCTGCCGAGACGAATAACAAGCGAGGACCAAGGACTCCGATCATCGGCTCTGAGGAAGACGAAGACGTCGAAATGTTAGCCGAAAATAAACATCATTATCAACCACGTGTAAGCTCATCAAATTCAAGGAAAGTCGGTTTCGAAATGTTTTTAGCTCTATTATTCAATATATCTACAAGCGATCACCTCCCATTCGTTCGGAAGGGCGATCATTCTTTCGGTTGGGAGTGTTCTCGTTTGAGAGTCGTTTTACTGATATAGATCGATGTGAGCGAGATATGAGATAGAATAGAAAAGCTTCGCAACCGAAGATAAACCTGTCCGATCAGGGAGTTTTGCTGTCTTTTCAACTAAATTAAGAAAGTTTAAGTTTACGTAAAGGGCCTGAGATATAAGTTTTAATCTTTTAACGCGTAATTGCTCAATTTCCATGAGAAACTGAAAAGAATGTAAGAAATCTAATAGTAGAACTTGAATCTTTGTGAACGGAGATTTGAGAGTTGAAATGAGACGGGAGCTATCACATTAAAATTTAATATCGGGAAAGAATTAACATTTATCAATCGAATATCAGGCCACCCGCATGGTGTGGTGGTGAACGCGTTAGCCCCCGGAAAAGGTAATAGCGCGTCTGTCCCTCGCCGCAGACACCTGCGGTCCGGAGTTTTGGAGATATCTCAGCATCAATGTGGTTGTATCAATCAATTATCAATTATGCTTATGGCCATTATATTTGTTCTCTCCTTATCCTTTTTAGTTCGATTTCTATTGCTTCTTATCCAAATCGATAACTTTCAATCATAATGGCGTAAAGTCTGTTGACAAATTTATCTGAAATCTAATCTGCATTGTTTTGAATTTTTTTGCTACTTGGTTTCTCACTAGCTTTTCAAACTGCCCTTTCGCAGAAGAGACTCGACGACATCCCGAAGGTAAAGCTCCATCTTACCGTAATCGATTCAACGAACGAGAAAAAGGCATTGAAGGACGGATAATCAACGCGACCTTACGCAATCTCACGACGAAATTGGCGCTTATCCACGATCAACTCATTCAACCGGAGAACATGGTAAGCCGCCAGATTCGAGTGTTTTTTTAGCGGAGATAATGAAATGGATGGGTGAGAAAGTTATGCGAAGGGTTGAACCAATAAACCTGGATGTGTGTGGGCGTCGTAGAAGAACTGCATGCGCGTTAAAACTACTGCAAAAGGTAATGATCAAGATATTTGGTACTGATCAACGCGAGTGAGCCTTGCATTCCAAAGGATGCATTGGTGGAGCGAGAGCGACGATGCCAGGTCTCTGTGTTTCGCACTTTACCTAGCTAGTATTTTTTATTCTCGAAGAAATGATGCTTCCTCATTGTTTCAAGTTTGCCATTAATCAATATTCTTGAGCGTTATCCAACATCACTTTCATTTTTCTGTTAATTTTTTCCAAACTTTCTAAATTAATTCATATTTCAAGTTATACAGTCTTACGATCCTGAAGAAGTGTTCACCAGACATATTTATTAATAGCCTGCAATACCACATAAATCTCCCATCAGAGAAGTTAGTTGACAAGAGACAGAAGCTTTCCTGTACTTTATCTTTCTGGATAATATTAACAACTTTGTCAGGCCCTATGGTATGCGATCTGACTCCATAGGTCACAAATCTACTCATTCTGAAATGCTCTCAGCCCGTTGTTCCTTCGTCATGCTGAAATGTTCACAGAGTCTTCTCGGTGATGTGCGTATGCTGGTTAATTTCGTTCAAGAGCAACATGGGAATCCATATCGACGAGTGGCACTTAGTGCCTTACTAGACGCAGTTGATAAAATGACGAAGCTAGAGAGGTCGGTATCGTTTGACAGTTTTTATCTACGGAACTCCAGCTTCTTTTTATTATTTCTTTCGCAAATTGTCCATTAGGTGGCACAGCACGACGTAACCGATCCAATATTATTCTATTTTCGTCATTGTAGTGGAATATTTAGCAGTGAGATAGCAAGAAAGGATGAGAGTGAAAAGAGCAGCCCAGGAGGTCTGGCACCGCCAACACGTGGAGATCAGGCATCGCTACGCAGAGGATTGTTCAAGCGAAAAGAGAAGGTATTAAAAAAACGCATTGATTAATGTCTATTACAGGGATCTTAAGTGAGTTGTAATATTCGTTAGGTCTTGAAGAGTTGGTGAATTCTTAAACGAAAAATTAGCTTCTTATGCGTCGGGCAGTCATAAATGTCCGTTCTATTCCGTTAGAACGATGAATTTGATAAAATTTCACAAGTGTTCCATTCTCCCACCGGTGAAAGTGTAAAAATGAACTTGGAAAAGTGAGGGGTCGTTTTAGATTATGGAATTCGAAGATCACAGGGAAATGTCTTTGAAAGCGCAATAAAACATTTCTAAACCGAGTTAGAAATATTAAAAGCAGTGGTGATCCTTCTATTTTTGTAAAAGCAGCTGAAGGACAAAGGAACAAAACTAACGTCTATTTAGCTATCACACGATTCGATCCTAAGAAGCGGAGCAGAGGATTCCGACTTGGATTCGTCTCCATCAACGCCGCGAACCGTCTCATCAATCGATGACGGTCTTTTTCCCTTGATGTCAGCGACGATCCTCAAGAAGAAAAGCGCTCCTAAACTTCACTTTGGTATGTTCATTAGTGAGTTCTTTTCTGCTGAGTTAGACTAAATACACTTGAAAGCGTTTACTGTTTGAATAAAGGTGGATAAATCTTTTCTTATGCAGTATGAATTGAAACTAACAACTTATAGTAGAGGTAAATAAGTTTCCAGCTTGCTCCTGTTTTGAAAGGACCAGCTTTACCATCTGTTTAAGCTAGGTTGGGTTGTTCATTATTATGGAAAATCGCTTAGATTCCTTTTAGAAAATGGAATACAGAAGGTTTCTTTATAAAGGTAGTGATAAAGGATAAAGCTCTCGGCGTTGATCATTCTCTGAGGGATGCGTCATGCATTCGATTTCATCAAGCATTTTTAGAGGTGACTGAGCACATATCTGGCCTATACGCGGTGGACTAGCGATGTATTAAGTCAGTGCTGTTATCTTTCCAGACGGGCCTGGGACCAGTTTACCGACCATGCGAGGATGGAAATCTTGCTGAGTCTAGAACACGAAGTCGATTCCATGTGTATTGCATGGCGTCTTTAACCATTACGCTACACGCTCCCTCTTCTTTATCTTACAGTATTTAACGTCACATGTTCATCAACGCAGTGAAAGAGTTTGGGAGAAATTACCCGATGGGGATGTCTTGATGCTGGAAGCCAAAATTTTGTCATTATGTTCAATGCTATGACGGCTTAGAAAGTCATTTACTGAAACGAAAAGAAAAACGACAGGGGGATAAATAAGTGTCTCACAATTTCTCTCTGCAGTTATCATCTTCAGATAATTTTGATCTTTGAAGGTATTTTAAAGACGATTTTGATTTTCATCGTCCGTTTTTTGGTTAGATGCGGTAAAGAGATATTATTTTCGCCTTCACGAATCGAAAATTTTATAAAAATTTTAAAACGAATACTAGAAGAAATCTTTACCCCATCTAACCAAAAAGCGAAGAAATAATGAAAGCAAATAAGAAGATAGAAAAATAGATTAATAATATTTGGTTTTATAATAAAACAAAAATTTTATAATTATTTAGCATTTAATTTGCTGAAGTCGACAAAAACTGAAAACATGGATGAAGAATGTTCTGATTCGGAAACTGCAGAGGAATTAAGTGTGAGTACTATTGAAAAATTTTAGCCATTGTAGTAAAAACTACAGTTCATGCCTAGTGGAGTTGATATTTATTGGGGATACAGTTATATTAGCCTCACTGTGAGAAGGAAATAAAGAATTTCAATTAAATATCATGGAATTTATGGGATTTTAGGAGATCGATGCCTTCGGCGTTAAGAAACCTTCGTGGGAATTCGGTCGTAAAGCAGTCGGAAAGACCCCAGTTGATGGTATTTTATATCCCATCTACCATTTTTATTTTTCATTTATATTACTTGACAGATTGTGCGGATCGCAGCACTTGTTTGTTCCAGTTTGTTGTCTAGCATCTCTCATTCACGAAGAACTTCGGATTCACGTATTAACTCGGTTTCAACTTGAAAATTCGTCTTTCTTATGGATGTACTTGAATGGTCATGAAACAGATTTTGTTTGGGTCCCTGAGAAAGCTAGCTCTATTAGAGACTCTCTACACTAGCATTCGTAGCGCTTTCTGAACAGGAGAGAGCCCAGAAAGACAAGCCTGGTAGCAATTTACAGAGTGAAAATTTGGTTCGCCAGGAATAGATCGAACCAATGACCATGGGTATTTTGATCGACTGTAACCACTGCGCTTCCCGTATCATGTTTTTTTACTTTTTCATTTATTTAGTCCATTTCTTGAAGAATTTCTTCAGTATTTATTGTCGAAATTCTTTTTTTTTTTAGCACAGGGCAATATTCGGTTGTACGGACTATTAGTTCCAGCGGCCAAGTTGGTAGATGGCAAAGTGAGTTACCTTCGGCGTTCAATACAACGACATTTTGGTCATTCTGTTTAAATTAGTACCATACTCGTGTCTAAATTCCCTAAATACCTTGTGAAATATGCTGCCAATAGTGTCTATTCGATTTCCTAACCTTCGTTTTTCATTTTTCTTAAGGTTTAAATGGGCTGCAGTCGAAATTGAATCGCGAAACATCTAGCTAGTGTAGAATATCTTTTCTTTCGAAATTGCATCAATCACTTAATGTTTTGATTGTTAATCCAATGAACCATCTATGAGCATTCACAACAACTGCATGACTAGAAAGAACTCTGTTTTCTAGGTCTTTATTCTCCAAGTCGTCAATTAAACTAAAGTAATTAGTTAATTGGTAAGCAACTGGGAAAAGCTTTTGTGCGCCCAATATCTCATAAGAGCGTCATGAAGTTTATTGTTGCTTAACCATGAGCTTGCGTAAAACATTAAAAACAGATTGGAAACGTTTTTTTAGGGAATATTCGAAGGTGCTCGCCGATTCGCCTTTCTTCTGGAGACCACCAGACCGGGCACGTTTCCAGATCCACCTCTCATCGCTGCTCTCCTACACTTGGCTAGTATTTCCTCATTGTTTAGTCGATTCTCTTCTAGTTCCCTGCCCATAATAGCCAGTGTGTGCACCATATTTTTGAAGCAAACTGAGAAACTCTAGAATAATTACTGACGTCTGAACGCCATTTACCAAGTGCTTAATAGTACTTCATTCCTTGGCTATAAAAATTTTCTTTTGTATGAGATAAGGAATAGCAATTTTAGGGCATAAGAAGTCAGAACCGCTAGTCTCTTTAATGAAGATAGTCTTTCCGCTATTTTCTCTCCACTGATTCTAAGGTGATCATGTGGTATAATAAGAAAATATGACTATGTAAAGTGTTAATGTTTTAAAAGTGTTAGTGTCACTTAGATGACTTGGATGGCCTGTCTTAGCAAACTTTGCAGACACCAACTTGGTCTTTAATTGACTGGCGTTTTACTGGTTGATTCACTTTTTTTTTCTTGAATTTTGGATGAAGTGTGCCAGTATTACGTAAAGTGTACGCTGTAAACTCTCGCTGGGGCTAGTAGATTGAAGGAGGACTTGGCGCCTTACAACTAACTTTCTTCTAGGACATTAGTGGTCTTTTTGCACAAATTTGCCCTTAACTGGGCTTCCGAATAGAATTTTCGGCTTTTTCTCATCTTGAATGGATAAATAAGAAAGTAAGGAAATGGTTAGGCGTACAACATCTTGGTTGCTATCTTATCGTAAGTAGGCAGGTGGGAGGGGGGGGGGGGTTGGGTGGAAATTACTAATGTCGATAATAAACATGACAAGCAGTGTTGAAAAGGTGTAAATTGGCTATAATAAACAAATTTAAGGGAATTTGTAGTTAAGGTTATTTATCTGGTTTTTATATCCAAACTACATGCAAGTATTGCTGAAATGAGATTACTTCTGCGCTTTAGAAATCGCCGGTATTGGCACGTGCTGCACTTCTGTTGGAATGCTGTTATTTCGTCTCACGATGTAATCGAGGACAATGGCCTGAGTGGATCAGGAGTAGTCATCTTTGGACGCTTAGTATGGGAGGTCCATTAGCTAATCGAGGTCAGGTTTTTTTCTATTGACGCATATCTTTTATTCATAAACGGCGTAGGCTGCAAAGTATTTCTTCGGTTTATTTCTTTCTAGGTGCACTTTAAATCTACTGGTTCTAAGTAGCTCTCATGATGTTTCAGTTTATGATAGTAGTAGTTTATTATCTGTTGAGGAGGTGCATTGAATATCTTTCTTGGGAACGTCGAAACCATTCAATCATAAAGTAGTGGGAACCTACTAGGTGATCGACACTTCTATGGTGTTCACCGTTTTGGTCACGCTTCTTGACACATCGAAATTATTACTATTTTGTTCCTAAATAAAATGACATTACAAATGAAGTATCCTCAGCTCTTTCATCTTTCCTGCCGATGTCCTTCAATGCCGATTTTGCTACGAGTGCCTCCAGCTATTACTATGCCTTAATTATTCCCTCATCGCAGCACAGTAAACAGGAGAATTGTTCGTATGGATCGACGAAATTCTCCAAATTTTCGACGAAACCTCCGAATCCATCACTGTGGTCAAAGTCCTTAATGAACTTCGAGGGAAGGAGATGTAACCAATAAGTAAAGAGAAATAGAGTGTAAGGCACAGCGCTTGTGAAAGACGGACGACTATAACGGAGGATTTGCCGATTACTTTCATTGGTACTTGGATAGACCGTCTTATTGAGTAAGGCATGCACGTCTCTTGCATATTTTCAATTCCTTTCTTTCTTCCGTGATCGGTGGACTACTTCGGGCGTGGTGACTTTTGCGAGTATCACTTTCATCCATAAATGCGTTCCAGCTGTGAATATAGTTTGTTGACCTAAGCTGCAAACACGATCGCCTGTAATGAAGAGAACTAGTTGCGCGAAGTTCGCGAAGACGGCGTGCGAGTCTTTTTGAGTTGGAGAAGCGATGTGCCACGGCTGAAATCCGGGTAATTAAACCAAGCGTTTCGAGCGCTCCTATCAAGTCAGCTTCAGTGGCCTTTGGATTCAGATTACGAACAAGCACTACCAGCGACTGTTCTGGATTTGTCGGATCAGCCAGTTCATCACGATGAAATGTTTTCATTGGTGGTGCGCTCTCTCTGCTCACTGTATGACTTACAATTCCTCTCAAGCGCCCATGAAAAAGTGACCGAAATCGAGTAAGGGGATGGAATATGCGAACGATACGAAAACGGTTCAAAAACGAATGCTAGCCAGTACCGGTTCTAGATTTGTCGGATCAGTCATCACTGCGAAATCTCTTTATTGGTGATGTGCTCTCCCTGCTCGTTGTCTGACTTGCTATTCCTCTGCCTTGCTGCAATGTACTTCTCCTCCATCATCACTCTTCAGTGTTAATTTGAAAACTTTCTTTGGTACTCCATGAGTGCTCCGCTTAGTTTTGTGATAGCTAATTCGATGGTGAGTACCCCTTCACTTAACTTGTATATGTTGCCACATATGAAGGTTTGGTTATCTCTCCATGACCCTGATGACGTGCTGAGCATTTCCAATTTCTCATCTTTAAGTCGCGTTAGTATGGTCGCAACTTTTTCATTTTCACTGTAGTGCGTAAATTCATCTGGTCATGGGAAATTAAAGCGGAAAGCAGAAAAAATTTTCATAGAACTAAGAATTGTGAACTCGCCAAAGCTGTATCAAGTTGAAGTGGTAGCTGTGAAGCTTAACTGCAAGACTTGCTGTTATTAGGTCTCTTTCAAGCAACCAATACACCATGTAATGAAGAGATTTAGCCGTGGTGAACTGGCTGATTCGAGAAATCCAGAACCGCCGGTGGTAGTGCGTGTTCGTAATTTGGATCCAAACGCCACCAAAGCTGTTTTGATAGAAGCGCTCGAACGTTTGGTTTAATTACTCGATACATCGGTAGGCTGCCGCGAGTCATTGTAAATTCCAGATATGCATTCAATCACCTCCAGCAATGGTGCGAATGGAGTAGGATGCATGGCGTATCTGCTAGGGATTGATCAACGCCGAGAGCTTTATCATTTTTTATCTTTATTGTATGTAGTGGTTATACTTCGGAAGACATAATTCAAGCGTTAAATTCTCAACCTAGTTGAAGTATCAACCCATATCTGAGCTGCACTGATAGGAACAAGGTTTTTTGGGTTCGTTAGATGATCAAAGGCATCTCTGGAAGCCTCACACGCGCCCATGCTCTTCTTTCTCCTGCGCATTTCATCCTTCATGTTGTCTTCATGTTTATCGGACGTCCAGAGTGCATTTTGATGATGGCTTAAATCAACGGTTAGCTCTTGATATTATACTCCTGCACTAACCCTTCTGGCTGTAGTGGTATACAGATGGCGTGTAAGATACATGTAGACGCACCGTTCAAGTGTGACTATACTATTCATTGATTTTCAGGCACTCCATCTGCCACTCGTCGAATGCATTCTTTACAGCGGACCGCTGGCCGGTATTTCTATCAGTGGGCTATACAGGTTATCTGTATAACAATATTGTCACTTGTGTTTACCTTTTACTTACTGGTGGCTTTCGAATTTGCTGTTGTAATGCTAGTGTATTCTGGACTTTGAATTTACCTTTTTGAGGTTAGGAACTCTAGTTAGACTTTAGTTTTAGCTTTTAGGGCTGTAGGGACAATCTATTTACTTTCTTCCTAGGCAATCGCAATAAGAACTCTAGAACAATTTCCGTGTAGCAGGGATTGATGACGATTTTCAATTAAGATTTCTGAGCAACTATCGCGATTTATTGAGACTGCGGAAGTCAAGGAGAAAGCTCAGCTGAAAATGGAAGATACGATGGAGGACTTTTTTGATGAGGGTACCTTACAAAATTTGAGCTTTTGAATGATAATAAGTAAAGATGCGATTTTTAGCTATTGTCAACGATGATTCTGGCGAGCGATGTCCACCAGCATTGCAGTTGATTGCCACACTTCTTCTCTACGAGATCACATCGTTTCTTAGAGAGACGTTCAAGACGATTCCTAGAGCAAAGAGCAATAAGGTGGATTTCATATTAGCACAAGGTCGTTGCTGTACTAAAGTAGGAAACAGCGCTTGTTACATCAGCTGTTTGCTTGGGGCTTATTGGTGGTTTATGAAGCACTTGCACAATGTGTAGAAACAGAGATGCAACCGCTTTAAGACAGCTGCGTCTACCAGTTGGGAGAAGCTGTTATCACATCGACGATGGTCAATCTTGTCGAACACCTTCAACGCTCAACAAACCGGATCAGTGAGCAGCGTGATCGATGTGAATTCGTCAATGCACTGTAAATGAGTATTTACTGTTCAGTAATATGTTGCTTCTTTTTCTAGAAACAAATCTATTTCACGTTTACTAAACTGCAGACTTCGAACTTTGGTTTTTTTCTCTGAGCGCTTAGATATCTCTAGCAATCCTTCATTCATAATTAATTTTTGTCTTGTAATCCGCCCAAAAATACGATTTTTCCTCTTGCTAAGAGGTCAGAAATCTGGGATTACTACTTAATGCTAAAAATATAATGTAATAACCTTTTATTTACTGTATATTTTTTTTTCATGGCAGGACCACCTGTATCACCTGTAGTCCCACTGATCGTCGAGTATCTCGAGTGGGTGCCAGTAAATCTTCCATTTTTCCTGTCGCGAGCAAGAGTAGCCCAGTGGGTTCTGCCGCTCTAGGGACTCGTTGAGCATTACATCTTTCTTCTAGGCTCTTCGCGAAGAACTCTCACCATCGGGTCGATGGTCATCCTGCAGTACGTTTGACATCCCTAAGAATCCAGCCACTAGCGGCTCTTGTCCATCGGTTATCATTCATACGCATTACGTGTCCGGTCCACCTCATCTTCGACTCTTTAGCATACAAAACGAGACCTTTGATTTTGATCGTTGACGCAGATCGGAGCTTGGGATGCCATCCGTTACTTGTGTGGAACGAGATACTCCTAGCATCGTCCTTTCGACTGCGCTTTCGATAACGCTGAATGACCATTCATCCTACTTACGTAGCGACCAGGTTTCTGACGCCTGCGTTATAGCAGGAAGCACCATTGAATCGAAAAAGTGGAAACGGAGTCAGGTGGGGTGTTCTTTGTTTTCTTTACTACTTCCTCGATCCTCTTGAAAGAAACCATGCCGATTGTTTCCTTCTGCTCATCTCTGGAGCTAAGTCGTTCATCATATTGATTTTCCGACCGCGATAGACATAACTGGAGCATTCGGAGATATTCGTTCCGTTGAGCGTGAATGGGACATACGAGACCAATCCGTTCCTCATGAACATAGTTTTCGTTAGGTTTAATCGGAGACCAATCTTTCCACAGGCTCTATCAATGTCGGCCAGCATACGTTCCGCTTGGCTAATGTTTGGTGTTATAAGGACGATTTCATCAGCAAAGCGAAGATGTTGTAACTGCCGACCATCGATTTTCACTCCCATATTATCCCACTCCAATGTTCGCATTGCGTTCTGGAGGGTGGCGGTAAATAATTTTGGAGAGATGGTATCGCCTTGCCTAACTCCTCTTTTGACGTCAATGTTAATGTAGTTGTAGAATAGTGGTATCTTTGTTGTGAAAACTTTGTACAGCTCACGAATTATTTTTATGTACTGAATAGGGACTCCTTGACTATCAAGGGCTTCGATGACTTCTTCCATCTCAATTGAATCAAAGGCCTTCGATGAAAGTGAGACAGAGCGGTCTATTGTACTATCGCGATACTTCAATGAGCATTGTTATCGTGTGGATATGGTCCATGGCAGGATATGATGTGAAACACAGTTGCAGTGATGCTGAGGTATTTGCAAAACTCTGGACCACAGATGTTTTCGGCGGAAATTTTCGCGTTATTACCGTTTCCGTGGGCTAATGCGTTCGCCACCACACCATGCATGTCCTTCGTTTCGCATTTCTCTCAGCCGTGTTTTGTAGTGGATATCAGAAATCACCCATGAAAAAAGAGTAGACAGTAAACAAAAAGCAATTACATTGTGATTTGTACTACACCTTCGGCTTACTGGGTTTAATGCCGATTTGTGCTCCCCACGTCAATCCCTTTGACGGATGATTGCTGCCTTGTGCGGTGGTGAACACGTTAGCTCCCGGAAAGGGTAATAACGAGGTAGATCACCTTCGCAGACACCCGCGGTCTGGAGTTTTGCATATATCTGAGCATCATTATAGCTAGAAATATATTCACAGCATTTTTGCTCATGAACTATGTAACAGTTTTTAGAACATTTTGCCAATTTTTACCCTAACGGTGCTACCAACAATTACCCATAAACGGGATTAATCGGGGGAGCGCAAATCAGCATTGAATGTTGCAAAGCTGTAGCTTCAGTCGAAATCACAACGTTTAATTTTTATTTACCGTCTTTTATTTTTTTCATGGCAGGGTATTATGCGAAATGAAACCACAATAATGCTGAAATATCAACAAAACAACGCCAGTGTTAACTGCTTTGGAGCGGATTTGTGCTCTCCAGATCATTCCTGTTGATGGATGGTTGCTAATAGTACCGTTATAGTAAAAATTAGCTGAGAAATGCAAATGAAAATCACCGAAAACGGTAATCACGGATCCGAGGCTCACTTGGGATCTGAAGTTTTGCTCATACCTGAGCATCATTTACTTTCGAATTGTTGAGATGGGGAGCGTGCTTCAAACAGTTTGGAATACGTTTTATGTCTAACATAATTAATATGAATTTAACGTATTCTTTACTGCCTATTCTTTTTAACGGCAGGGTGAAATTTACACATTGTGAAATATAACTTCAATGATGCTGAGATATTTGCAAAACTCCGGACCGCAGGTGTATGCGGTGGGGAACGAACATGCGCTGTTGTCCTTACCGGGAAGCAGCGCACTTCACCACCACACCATCCGGGTCCTTCGTTTTGCCTGTCTCTCAGCTGGTTCTATCGATCTTTTTGCCATCAGCAATCACCCGTCAACGGGATTGATCTGTGGGGCCCAAATCGGCAACGAACCCAGTTAAGCTGAGGCCGCAGTTATAATCACAATTTAACGTATTCTTTACTGCCTAAAAGATCGATAGAACTAGCTGAGAGACAGGCAAAACGAAGGACCCGGATGGTGTGGTGGTGAAGTGTGCTGCTCCCCGGTAAGAACAACAGCGCGTTCGTTCCCCACCGCACCCACCGCATACACCTGCGGTCCGGAGTTTTGCAAATATCTCGGGATCATTGAAGTTATAATTAATGTTTGGAGCATTTGTCGTTATTATGAAAGCACCTTTGAAAAGTTAAAAATTTCTGCACTGTACCGCACTTGGAGCTAATAGGAAGTTATTTCCAATGATGCCTATCGCACTTTTCGAATTTCAGTGAATGAGCGCGAACGGCGCATTAGCTTATCTACAGCTGAAGAAGATTCACCAAGAGGTTCAAGGGATATTGCAGATGACGTAGTGTTCGATAAGAAAGGTAGGTATGTCTTTGAATCGGAACTGAGTCCTTCCTTGGTATTACGCTCAGCCGTAATATCATTACGCCCTCAAAAGTTCATTTCTTTGCTGTGCTGATAAGCTCACATGAGTTTGTTAGCACAAATTCCTTATATTGCTCTGTTTCTAAGATATTTGTCTTCTTCAAAGCTGCAGTGGTTCGAGTCGAATGTCTAGAGCCGCTGTTTCGTCATTGTTTTCAGACTTTTTTTTAAAATCGTCCTCCATTTTACTATCCTCCTGAATTCGCTAGGCAAAAACTGTTGTTAACAACTGTATGATAAAAAGCCGGCGGATGTACCGTTCATAGAGGCAGATTTTGAGTCGTAAGTAATACCCATGTCGGATTTTGTGGTCTAGCTTTACGCTGGTTGAGCTTTTTTCTTATTGTGGATAGCTTTTGTGCTGAACCGCGAATGTTATATCGATTTTGTTAATGCTTACTGTATGAGTGCTTGTCATGTATCGCCAGAAAAGTGAAGATGTCGAGGCAAAATCCAGGAGGTTTTCTTCTATGCCTTTTTATTTTATATCTTACCTTTGCATTGTGCATGCTTCATTTCCGATTGACCACACGTCAATGGCTCACCGATGCTTTGGAGGTCACCACCCCTGTGTAATAGAAAATTGCAATGAACATCAACTAACAGTAGCATCACGATTTTGTCTAAGTGCCTATCGAAACGAAGTAAAATTTATCAAATCATCGAAGGTAAAAGGCACCGACTAATGATATCCAACTTCAACAGTTTCGTGGAATTAAATTTTTTTGGTCACGCGTAGATTATAGGTGCCCACACGATCTTTTATTCACTCCCAAGTAACTAAGTCGGCCATCTTAACGGGACTAGTCTGTTTGAACGATGCTTGTTTGGAAGGATAAAGAAAACTGATTTTTTACACGTGCATACCACCGTAGGTTATTGTATAGCTCAAATACACATTCGGAAACTATGATCTCTAACGAATTTTCATAAATGACGCAATAATCAATGCCAAACACTTGTATCTCTTATCCCTGAGATTTTTATTTGACCATTTTTTGCTTCTTGTTCTTAAATTTTTGTTTTTAAACAAAGGTCTTGAATGATGAGCAGTTTGGTGAAACAACTTTGGGAGTCGCTCTCTGTCATAGAGTTCTGTATTCTGTGCGGAAACTCCAGGATACGACTATTTGTAAGGCTAGTAAGTTTTAACACTATCGCCACTACGCCTAACTTCACATTTTTAGCGGAGTGAACGACGACCGATTTCTCGCTGTGCTGATTTTGACACTGGGTGTTACACCGGTCACTCCGGGAGTTCATGCATATCCCCCTTTAATTACGACTTCCCTTTTTTAAATCAGTTTTTCTCTGCGTTTTGGAAAAATTTCTGCCCATTTTTCTCTGCGTTTTGGAAAAATTTCTGCCCATCTTTTATCCCATATATGCTTGATGTTCTTCTACGCACCATTCCATGTTTTTGGTGCATATATAACCCTTGTGTATGAAGAAAAACACTCGTCCACTATGCAATCATGCTCCCGTGAATATTTGATGAAGTTGCGCCAGTTCCGCAAAGATTATCACGATGTCTATTCTTTAGTTTTGATATCATATTATTCATACAGTACCCAAAAGTCATCATAGCTTTTGAAAATTGGAAAATAATGAATTGATTCGTATGAGATGCTGAGATATTTGCAAAACTCCGGACCACAGGTGTATGCAGTGGAGAACGAACACGCGCTGTTGTCCTTACCGGGGAGCAGCGCACTTCACCACTACACCATCCGGGTCCTTCGCTTTGCATGTCTCTCAGCTAGTTCTATCGATTATAACTAGGCCTCAGATTAACTGGGTTCAATGCCGATATTGGCTCCCCAGATCAATCCCGTTGACGGGTGATTGCTGATGGCAAAAAGATCGATAGAACTAGCTGAGAGACATGCAAAGCGAAGGACCCGGATGGTGTAGTGGTGAAGTGCGCTGCTCCCCGGTAAGGACAACAGCGTGTGTTGGTTCTCCACTGCATACACCTGCGGTCCGGAGTCTTGCAAATATCTCAGCATCTCATACGAGTTATATTTCGCAACATAACCTGCCATTAAGAAGAAAAAGGCAGTAATTAAAAGAGTTAAGAATGAATTGATTATCAAAAATAGCGCTGCATACTGTGCACGTTGCCAGTTATCCGAGGCAGAAGCGTCTCAGCGCCTTCGAACTGGCCACATTTTCTAAGCGGCGTATTGTCCTCACCAGCAATGGTCTCTTGCAGCAAAGTGAAAAATTGGTAAGGTATTATCCAGAAGATATCCGCCCATGGACGCGACGAACCACGACGTGCGCCACAGCATTTGTACTGGGTAATTGGTTTTTTAGTACAATATCATTTGTTCATTCGAGGAGATGGCTCACTGAAAAAGACGTGACTCGACACGAAGGCGAAGCTGCCACTTCGAAACGAATAACAAGCGAGGACCAACGACTCGGATCATCGGCTCTGAGGAAGACGAAGACGTCGAAACATTAGCCGAAAATAAACATCATTATCAACCTCGTGTAAGCTCATCAAAGAAAGAATACATACTGCAATTTTATTCACGAAACAGAAAACGCCCTTCCGATTGCTAAAGGCACGTGATTGCCTTTGATGAAGAATTTGAGCTGCTTTAGCACGGTACTCTCGAAATTTTCAGGAAAACTGCGTTAGGCTAACGTTAAGCATATCGATGTGTTACGATGCAGACAGATGCTTATGTCATACTTTCGTCTTACGCATCTAGGGTCAACAAATGCAAGACATCGAAAGGAATGAAACAAGTACTAGGGTCCCACACCATGTGTGGACGTGCTATCTGAGTATTGTTAGAATATTGGTGGGACGTAGATTTCTGTACTCCCACCAACAAGTGGCTTCTATATATAGACATATGTGTCTCTATGTTTAAATCTTCTTGAATGTACAGATGAAATAGGAACGAGGAACGAGTTTTAGTGGCGATAAAAAGAATTGCTGAAATCTGTAGTGCCATTTAGGCTTTTCAGGATGACCGATGAGCTGAAACATAGGGCTATTCTTAATATAAATGGTCTACTGCATAAAAGTTTATCTAACTGAGCAACACCTTAGACTTTATTATAGCAGAAAGGTTGGAGAATATCTAAAATCTATGCATTTTTCTTTCTCTTTTCATAACAATTTAGTCGCAGTTTTACGAAAGTTGTAAACTCATTCGAGAATAATTTGTAAATGTATGTACGATCACAATGATGCTGAGATGAAGGTATTAATACGCAGAGATAATAATGATCGCTGAGAGACAGACGAGACGAAGGATCTGAATGGTGTCGTGGTAAACGTGTCAGCCCCCGGAAAGGGTAATAACGTGTTCATTCCCCACAGCAGACACCTGTGGTCCGGAGTTTTGCAAATATCTCAGCGTCATTGTGGTTCCATTTCGCTTTATATCTGCCGTGAGAAATTATATTAGGCAGTAAATAAAAACTTTGCGTTTTCTATGTACGATTGTGGTTACAATATAGAATTATTTTGCCAAAAAAATTGGGAAAGTAAACAAAGGTTTTGCTGGTTAGAGTTTATGAGCATTCCAATTGTTTGTGTTTCCTACAAAAGCACCTCCAAGCATGGCGTGTGGTTGACGATTCGAGACGAGATTTCAGCAGATGCTTAACACCAAACGGAAGCGCCGTTTCCCGCTTTAAGGTGTTCGTGCCCCGTCGTTGAGTGTGCGTCTGTTCTCTCGCCAGTCAACCTGCGACGAAACTGGCGGATCCAACTATAGCTCGACAAAATCGGCCAACTATCCGCTTGAATCGGGCTCTTTTGGTTTGTTTGCTGTTCCTTACTATCGCAAACTTATTTTAGTGTTGTGCTAGCATGATCATCCTATGTCCTGATTTCGCTCATGTCGTTCAATATCTCCGCTAGGAAACCATGTTTTTTCCAAGATTTTTTAGCTCTCATTGACTTGAATGTGCCTGATGACCACCATTTGCACATTCTTTGTCATAACTTTTAATTACGTTGAAGACTTCTCTAACAACTTAGCAAACCTTGCGAGAGGAAACCCTTCTAAGAGTCGTTTGTGTAATAGTTTCCTTTTCCTCTTTCTTTTGCAATACTATTAGTCAGTCAGTCAAATGTGATTCGTCTTAAGTTTTTTATTCCCATCCATCGTTATTATTTAGTAGGTTCCATTTCATAGGTCGAAGAATCGCTGCGGGCAGACAGCGCCTTCTTAAACGAGGTTCACCGATAGGGCAGCAACCGTCATTAGAATCCAGTCATAAACGGAGATCACTGAGGTAAATAAAGAAGATTTAAGGAAATGTTGGTAGACATTAAGCTTATAGTTAAATTTTTTAAATACCAAGTTTTATCTGCTTAAGTTGCGGAGGTGTTTCGCTGAGTAGATTGTATGTCACTTTGACGCTTCCAGGCTCTAAAGAGCGCGAAACCGCCGAAGCGTGTGCTGTTTTGAATTGATAAGTGCTGTCATAATAACCTCGTGTTTGCTCATCAAGAAGTTAGTGAATTACAAGACGATCAATTTGTGGCTTTAAAACATGATAGTAGTAGAATGATAAGAATTGTTAGAAAAGATCTGTAGATTCTAACATAATCATAATCCGTGTTATGGATTGGAGTATGAGCGATAGATAGGATTCGGAGAGAAACTGAAGATGCTGATAGAATGGAAAGCTATGCTCCAATTTGGAGTGATCTGTGCCATTCCTTCATTATTTTCGCTTCTTTTATTTCCATGGTCTCTAAAAATTATTTTTCAAGTTGTCGCTTTTCAGAATTCGGAAACAGTCCAAAGCTGCACATGCAGATGACATTGATGATCGAGTCGATGGTGAGTTTGATCGTCGCCTGACTCTAGCATTCTCTCCCTAGTGTTCGTTGTCCAACTCTCTTTCGTCACCCATAAGTTGCTACTCTTAAAAGAACGTTCAGCGATCTTACTAATGAGCATAATGCCCATGTGTGCTTTCTGTATTTCTCTTCCATTCTTTAGGAATTCCTAGCCTCTCTAGTAACGATAGATCCATTGCTGAGATCTTATGTTTCTGGAAAGGTAATGGCTTTTTTTGCCATTAATCGACAACTTTGGCGCGTCCTTCTCAGAAGACTGCAGTTGTAAGGAATATGAAGTAAAGCTCGTCAAATAAGATCAAAATCGAACGGTTTAATTCAATTTGGTTAGAAAATTGAGTTGTAGATCACTGAAAAATCCAGCAATTGAATAATAAATAAAAGACGTTATATTGCGATGTGTATGTCGCACAATCCGACTGCTGAATAAAATGCTATTTTAACTTTTCTTAACCAACTAGATCCTCAAATCAACTGGGTTCAATGCCGATTTGGGCTCCTCAGATCAATTCCGTTGACGGATGACTGCTGGCGGCACTGATCGATAGAAAACTAACTACGAGACACGCGAAACGAAGTACCCACATAGTGTGGTGGTGAACGCGTTAGCGCCCGGAAAGAATAATAGCGCGTTCGTTCACCACTGCAGACATCTCCGGTCCGCAGTTCTGCAAATATCTCACCATCATTTTGATTAAAATGTTATTATCAATCCCGCTCACGGGTGATTGCTGTGGCAAAGATCGATAGAAATACCTGAAAGACAGGCGAAAAAAAGGACTCGCATGGTGTGGTAGTGAACGCGTTACTCCCCGGAAAGGACAATAACGCGTTCGTTCTCCACCATAGACACCTGCGGTCCAGGGTTTTGCAAATATCTCAGCAACTCGTATGAAGTGCTGAAATACCTGCAAAACTCCGGACCACAGGTGTATGCAGTGGGGAACGAACACGCGCTGTTGTCCTTACCGGGGAGCAGCGCACTTCACCACTACACCATCACCCTCACCACTTCATACGAGTTATATTTCACAACATACCCTGCCATTAAGAAGAAAAAGACAGTAAATAAAAGAGTTAAGATTATCTCAGCAACGTTGTGGTTGTATTTCGCTTAGTACCCTGCCGCGAAATTATAGTAGGCAGAAAATAAATAAGTATAACACTAAAATGTTATTATTCGTTATTCAATGCACACAGGTAGCTATTTCTCTACCCATTTTTCATTTTGAACCATTTTCATCTATTTGATTTCTATTTCGTTCAAATTCTGGTTGTCATATTAGTAAAAACCCTAAACAAACTAATTGTTTCCGATTTTATGCCGAAGTTACTTGAAAACTATCAGAATAGAAAAAATCGCCTGAATTGTTGCCTCTGTGGAAGTACGACCATACACGGTCAGAGATGCTTAGGTTTTCCCTAACCTACTCGTTATCTACCCACTTTATCTGAGTTTGAGATTACTAAATCACTTAAACTGTGTGTCCTAATAAGGGTTTAAAATTCTCTTATAGCTCACACATTGTTTTACAATTGATCTCTTGTACTAGTTAATTATTGAGTAGAATAGCATTTGAAGGTGCCATTCTGACGCGCCACACACACACACCCTGTATAACCTCTTTTAGCTGATAGCTGATTTATTCGTAGTCAGGTAACATGACAAAAGTCTCCTCTTACGACCGAGCTCTAGCACCTGTGGAGTAGCATACATAATTGCTGATTTAAGTTCCTGACCACGTTTTCTTTCAATGTTCTATTTTTGCTTCTGTTTAGCAAGCATGAGGTGTTATTTTATTTCTTTATTTACACACAAAGTGACGTTTTGGTGGATTTCGCCTTCCTCTGAGCCTGGGAAGGTCAAGTTGACTTCAATCTACACGGTCCGTGAGGTATTACGCACAACTGAGAGGGCTTGCAATGGGACAACAACTGGCACCAAACCTTGCCATTGCATTCATGTCTAAGGTGGAAACACCAGTGACCGATCTCGGGCCGTTACTCTACTGTAGGTATATAGACGACTGTTTTGTACTTTGCTCCACACGAGAGGAATTGGACGAATGTTTCGAGTTGTTGAACGAACAGTCAGAGTATATTAAATTCAGCCAAGAGAAACCGAAAGAGAACTGGCTTCCGCTTCTTAACGTGCAAATTAATCTGTCAGAAAACGGCTACATTACGAAGCGGAATCAAGAACCAAGTGGTACAAACATGCTGGTTCATTACCTCTCCTCTCACCCCTCTCACAAGAAAAGGGCGCTTGTGAGAAACGTGTTTCAAACAGCTACCAGCGTGTGCACAGCAAGGGAGCAGAGAGGGAATCCCCATTTTTAATGGCTACGAAACTGTAGCTCGGGAAAGGTGTAGAGGAAACCACAGGCCCCTAACAGTAGCTCTAGCGACAGTAAAGTCCCCTTTAACCTACCCTTCATTTTGAATGAAGTGAAGCTATAAAACGCTTTTTAAAAAGGGCCGGTATAGAGAATTCGGTAGCGTTAATCGAAATACCACTGAGTAATCTAAGACGCCAGCTAGTTCGTAACCGCCTATGCAACCGTCTATGTGCAACGCAAAATTGCATGAGTTACCCCAATGGTAGAGACGGTGACTACATAAGTTCGGGTACAGTCTATCCGATCTCTTGTAAAGCGTGCATGGACGAATACGTTGGCGAAACGAGTGGACCACTCTGCGTCTGTATAGAAGAACACCTATTTGGCAAACGTAAACCAATGCAGAGACATAACGGAGAAGATTTCTAAGTAGGGATTGCGATCCTCGCGGAGGAATCGAGAACACAAGCGCGCAAAAAACTCGAGCCTTTCCGGATTAATTCCAAGAATCCGAAAATTATCCGCAGGAAGAAATGCCTCATTATCATGCGTGATATTGGGCAGTATATAAGTCTGTTGTTCTGATGAGATGTGCACATTACGATTTCATGTGAACTCTGTGCGGTTGGTCTTCACGCGACATACTGAGTGGAAGCCTTATAGAAAGCGGTGAGTGTGTAAAACTCTGTGTTCAATGTGACTGAAATTTTGGTTCAGCATTTTCTGTGCTTGGTTATGGAGGTGTTTGGCCGTGTAGATTGCAGTCAACTTGACCTTTCCAGGCTCAGAGGAAGGCGAAGTCCGCCAAAACGTCAGCTTGCACGTAAACAAGGAAATAAAATAACACTTCGTGTTTACTAAACAGAAGTAGAAAGAATTATTCATTCAATGCCGAGGTTAATAGAAAGTTGGTCGTGGGAGTTTTATTTTTAGTTCAACAGTCGTTTGGTCAACGAGACTCGCTAAAACCGCTTGACGAAACATTGACGCAGCCACCTACAGATGTCGCGAATACGGTAAACCTCTGGGAACTTTTAAGAATGAACTATTTTAAATTTTAACAAATGACAAGATCACTTTTTTACTTGTTATTCTACCTCACATTCAGACTTTGTTTCTCAAGTTTCAGAGAACTATGGCTATATATATATACATATACACATATGTGTAGGTATATACCTATATATGTGTATACATATATGTATAATCGGCTTAAAAAGAATAAAAAAAAAGCTTGAGGTTTGCACTAGAAAAGCACTAATACCCAGATGCAGATTTATGCAAGTTCTCAACAAGGGCTAACGTATGGGCAGCAGCAGATAGCGTCTAAAACTCAATTCGATGATGAGGAGCAGCAAATACTTTCCAATCTCCCGTGGATTAAAGTGGGTTTTTGTTCATAAAAATTTTAAAGGGTAATTCGAGACACTAATCACATTTATTTATAAGGTGAGGAAAAGAAAATTTTCGATAATGTGAAGCATTTCTGGCTCATGAAAACGATGAATCCTTCATCAGAGAGCTTAAGCTTTCTTATCCGATATCGATCTTCCACTGATTCCTTGGAACCATCTTTAATCCTTATTTTTATGTTCGGGGATTTTAGGTTATAATACAGATGGCGAATTCTTTTGACATGAAGTGCACGCATGAGACGGTTTGCACACAACGGTGTTTTTTGAGAGTTAGTCGCCAGTGTCATCGACTCACTTCAGCGCTTTCGTTCCTATATGGATATCCAAGGTAAAAAATTATTTCTTGAACTAACATTCTAAACTAAAAAAGGCATTAATACCTGTCATGGAACACGTTTCATTGGTAGACATAAGAAAGGAAGGACTTTTACGAACTAATAATTGCTTTCTGTGGAATGATGGTTTAGCAGTTATATGATCACCCATACTGAAAGTTATTGGATCTCCAAAGCCTTTTCTGCAAAGGTAGGAGTTAAAAGTTGCTGAAGTAAAGTCGCTTTTAATACTGTTATACTGTGTTCAATCTCTTTTATACCATTGCTCATGGCTCACCAAGTCTTCCATCCCTCAGGGGTCGAAAAATTGGTACCGGAGCTGTCTGGGAGGATAGCAGCGCTGGCTTGATACATCGGTAGGCCACCGCGATTCATTGTAAAGGCCCAAATATTATACAAGCCGACATGAATTTGACACACGTATTTAAGCACACCGTATTAGGCTTATTTGTAAGTTTATTATCTTTTCCTTCGTATATGACCCATCATCGCAACAACTGTGCTTATTCCAACACTTTTCGCACGCAATTCGTTTCCTCGCATTCATCGTCCAGAGTAGTGTTCGAACACTTCGCCTATTCTTTCGGTTACTGTTTGAGGGTTTCGCCTTTTATAGGAATGTTGTAGAATGCTGGCCTAGTCGCAATCGCCATGCAATCTTGGAGATAGCCGAGCTGAGGAGTTCCTACTTGGAGGACAGGCGGAGATTGTCGAGGGGAGTGGAGATGTGGCGAACCACAGTCTTGCTTTTTGATGGACTGCATTGCTAACACAGCTCTCCTTCCTCGCACTATAAATCCAATTTGTTTTTTAGTTTGAAAATATTTGTTTTTACTAAATACGAAGGGGAAAAGGTGGGAATATTTGGTGAGAAAAAAACTTTTGTCTGACTGGCTGAAATTTTGGTGAATTTGACTTTCTTCAAGCCGAAT